GTGGGAGGAGGGAGAGGAGAGGAGGGGTAGGAGGAAGAGGTAGGAGGAGGGGGAGGAGGAGGAGGGGTAGGAGGAAGAGGCGGAGGAGGAGGGGCAGGAGGAAGAGGAGGAGGGGTAGGAAGAAGAGGCGGAGGAGGAGGAGGAGGAGGGGGAGGAGGAGGAGGGAGAGGAGGGAGAAGGAGGAGGAAGGAGAGGAGGGAGAAGGAGGAGGAAGGAGAGGAGGGAGAAGGAGGAGGAAGGAGAGGAGGGAGAAGGAGGAGGAGGGGTAGGAGGAAGAGGAGGAGGAGGAGGGGAAGGAGGAAGAGGAGGGAGGAGGGAGAGGAGGAGGCGGAGGGGTCGGAGGAAGAGGTGGGAGGAGGGAGAGGAGGAGGAGGAGGGAGAGGAGGACGAGGAGGTGGGAGAGTAGGAGGGAGGGAGGGGAGGAGATGAGAGCGGGGAAGAGGAGAGAGAGGGGAGGGGGAGATTAGAGCAGGAACACTGAAATGAGGTTGTAGTAGTAGTAATAGGAAAACAAACAAAAGATGAAATGCCAAATAAGCAAAAATAAAAATAAAAAGGAGAGCACTTCCAAGTCCTCTTGTGTCACAGGAATAGCAGCGGCGGGGCTTCCCTTACTCAGAAGATCTGTAACTCAGACCCTCTCAACTCAGGTTGGCGTGTGCTGTGCAGTGACAAATAAATTGCCACCCTCGGACCGCTAACCTTGTGGGAGGAGGGAGACACACAAACATACACACACACGTACACACACACAAACAAACACACACGTACACACACACACTCACACGCATTCCCCTTAACCAATCCCAGCATCAAGCAACTACCCGGGACATGAATTCGCAGAAATATGTACAAATCACTAAATTTCCCACCGAATTCCCGCCCGTGCGCTCGTCACCGCTGAAGATTCGATCCTTTCCCAGGAGACTTTTCCAATTAAGACGTCTCTTTACCTATTCACGATTCCCGTAATGACAACAGGTCCTGATCAATACCTCAAAGAGAGGTGGATCCTTAAAGCTGTGAGCTCGCTTTCTGACCTTGGACCTGTGGGCTTAGCCGGAGAATCGCTTCTGAACACACCAAAAGGTCACCCATTGACCCCTTTCTTTCTGCTTCAAACCTTCGAATCTTTCTCTCCGTAATAACAGAGAGAGAGAGGCTTTCACTCTTACTCTACTCACCCCAAATGCACACACGTTCAATGGCGAACGTGCCTACTCTACCAGCGATTTACTAAGCTCGACAGACCAGTTAAATTCCCCAATAAAGAAGTGGGAAATATCAACCCTCGACGCAAAATGGCCCTTGCGGTTTCTCGTTTTCGCTCACAAATCGGATTTTACTTCATGCCAAGATCGGTCTGAAAGTCCCTTCACACAACAAAGTACAGTTACCGCTGAATCATTTCGCGCGAGATGCCACGCCATATATGCGAGGCCGAATCTCACCCTCCCCTCATGTCTCGTCCATTATTACTCAAGCATTACCGAACGCGTAACACTTCACAAAGAGAGTGGAAGTGCGAAGGAGCGAAGAGGACGGGAGGACGGGGAAGGTGCAGGAGAAGGGGGGAAGGGATGTGGAGATAATGAAAGAAAAGATA